TTCATTTAATTTAATTTTGTCCGTTTTTTTACATAATTTTTTTTTTATTTCAGAAGATAATTTATCAAGCATAACACCGTTCCTTTTTAAACAACGAGCGCTTAATGATTACTCACCGACAATTCTACAGCACATAAAGATTACAGCTACTGAATGTTATGACAATTTCAAAGATACTGTTGTAGAGCACTTGCAAATCCAATTACGTAGTTCACTACAGAAGGATGTCGAAGGCAGTGATTGTCCATGGATTAAGTCTGATAATGGTACAGATTTAATTGTCAAACATCTAGATGAAGCTATTAAACAAATCAATAATGGTAGTTTCGAAGAGTATGCTGTGACGGTTTGGTCTCTTTGTTTGGCATTGTGGGGTGATCATGAAGAACTAGAGGGTCAAGATGCAGATTCACATTTTACTGTTATGTGCCGTCGATCTTTGTTGTCGAAGTGGTTGGAAAATTTATTAACCGACAGTGATTTGTTAACAAAAAATATTACAACAAATACATATTTAGATCATATGCTAGCATTAATAAGCTGTCATAAAGTAACAGAAGCGTGCGAATTAGCTTTTCTGTATGACGAACCCAATTTATCGCTTTTATTAGCGCAATTATCTTCTGGGCCTGCTGTACGTCAATTAATGGAAGATCAACTTGCTGCGTGGCACAAAAATGATGCCGATAAATTTATTGCATTAGAACGACTCAAAATGTATATGCTAGTTGCTGGTATATCAATTATGGATTCTGCACATGGACCAATAAATATATTAGAGAATATCAGTTGGCTTAAAGCATTAGCTGTAAATAAATTAATTTTAATCATTTAACAGTTTATTAAATAATTCTTTTTTTTTTTTAGATTCAATTGTGGTATATATCACAACCAACTGCGTCTGTAACAGATGCTTTGGCAGCATACGATAAAAGTTATCAAAATGAGGAGTACTTTTCATTAGCGCCTACAGCACATTATTTATCTTCTAATAATGAAGAGAAGAGCATAGCGTCAAGAATTTATGACTTGCGTTATCATCTACTGAAACTTAACTCAAAACGTAGTTACCCGCTGGAGAGTTTATTAAATCCAGCAACACATACTACGGATCCAATGGACTATCGCTTAAGGTTAGTTTATTTTTAGCATATATAAATAATAATTTTTAAATAAAAAACTTAAACAAAAATATAATTTTGGGTTGTTACTTCCAGTTGGCTATTATTACAAACGCTTGAAGCGTTAGGCTACCAACATTGTTCTGAATCTTGTGTAAATCAGTTACACATAAGCTTCGCTGCACAATTAGAAAATAACGACCTTTGGGAATGGGCAATATTTGTGTTGTTGCATATAAAGAACCGTAACAATCGTGAAATAGCCGTACAAAATATACTTTATCGCTATGTTAGTGTATCTTATGAGGTGTCCCTAAATGAGAAAGAGAAATTTGTGATTAATAACTTAGGTGTGCCAGAGAAATGGATTGATTATGCTAAGGCTGTTAAAGCGGGCGCTTTGCGTAAATATCATTTGCAAGCCAAATACTTATTAAAAGCAAAACAATGGAATTTAGCGCATGAAATAATTTATCAGCATATAGCACCAGATGCGGTAATAAATGGTAAGTAAACATACTTGCAAACCTCAAAAATTTTAATAATAATATTTTGATTTTATTTTTTATTTCAAATTCTAGATGAGCTTGACTATTTGCATGAATTGTTAAGTCAGTTTGAAACCGAAAATGTTAATAACTCAGTGAAAGTACCAAGTTGGAGTAATCAGGGACAAATTTTCTTGGATTTCATTGACATAAATGAAAAAGTAAAATTTTCAATTTGTTTGTTAAATATTTTGGCATTCATGTATTTTTACATTTTTTTTTCCAGTTTAAAAATCTTAAAAGCCTTAGGAGTGAGGCGGATATTGAAGCTCGCTGGGAAAATCTAAAGCATCCATTAGCAGAATTATGTTCACGTATTAATCTTCTGCCATGCCCCACAGCTAAACATCGTTTATGCCAAAGCGAAATTGCACAAAATTTAGCATGTTTAGTACGTGGCGTTTTGTTGGTTTGTAGTGGACTTAATCCATGCCAAATTATTAAATTTGCATTGGAACGTTTGCCTTTACCGCAAGAATTCGCACAACAGGAGTTACGCGCATTGCTGGACGCTATAGTTGCCGATATGGGTAAAATAAATACATTCGATCGTGACGCAGTTATCATTAAATGATACAATTACAAATAAATAAAAAACAAATTTTTTTTAAGCTTGGAAGTATGTATCATATATATGTGTATTAAATATTGTAATTAACTTCATTTGTTATATCGTTAGGTTATTTTATTTAGTTTAAATTAAGAATCAAGTTTAATTTTTTATTCACATTAATAACAGTTTGTATCTTAAATTTAGTTCATTTGCAAAGCATATTTGTTTTAATTTTTAAATTAGCTATTAATGTTTTCTTTATTATGGTATATCATTTTTAATATTTCAAAATAAAGTTACAAAAAGTTAAATTTAATTTTTTTTTACAGTAATTTACGTACAGTAAGTCATTATTCGCTCACCGTTAGTCTTCTTCCTTTTTTAGTTGTGAAAAAAATATTTTCGGACAATTTAAAAGCATTCATTACTGACTCTTCAATATACTTGAAGAAAGTAATTTGCTGTCCTATGTAAATGTTTCTATGAGGCCTGGCTTTAGTCTCATTTTACAATTTATTGATCAATTCTTTATAGTTAGCATATTTATATTTAGAACTTTTAAATTACCGACTCAGAATTTAAGTAATTATTCTATTGTTTTGGTTTTATATTAAATATATCCATGTATATGTGGATCCTTAGTGGAACCAAGAGATAAGAGTATAAATCCTTAATTTATTTTTTGAATACGATTTTCGGCATATGTCCCCCTCGACTACGCGTTACTTGGTCTATTCGATCAGTCCAATTTTTGACTATTTTTTGCAATAAATGTTGCCGTATGGCGTCAATGGTGGCATAAATATTGGCTTCCAATGCTTCAAGAGTTGCTGGTTTATCGTCATAAACCAATGACTTAACATAACCCCATAAAAAGTAATCGAGAGGTGTTAAATCGCACGAACGAGGGGGCCAGTTAATAGGACCACTTTTGGAAATAAAGTTGTTACCAAATTGATTTCGCAATAAATCGATTATTAAACGCTCTGTATGGCAAGTTGTACCGTCTTGTTGGGACCAAACATCGTCGATATTAAATTGATAATTTTTGGAAACAAAAATTCAGTCACTATAGCTCGATAGCGCTCGCCATTTATCGCAATTGCAGCTCCTTCCTCATTTCGAAAGAAATAAGGACCGATGATGTCGCCAGCATGTAAACCGCACCAAACAGTCAATTTTAATGGATGTAATGGTGATTCGTTAACCGCTTCAGGATTAACTTCGTACCCTATATGACAATTTTGCTTATTGACATACCCTTTTACCAAAAAATGAGTTAAATGAACACAATTCTTTGATGAAAATGCTCATCTTCGGTCAGTTTTAAATTAACCCAATCAGTAAAAATTCCACGCAAACGATGGACGTTTGGCTTTAATTCTTGCACAAGTTGTATTTTATAGGTAAGTAAGCCAAGATCATAGCGCACAAGTTGAGAACGACGACGGATCGACATTTCCGCGTCTTCTTCAACACTTCGTGCTACAGTAGCAATATTCTCTTTGGTACGCACATTTTTTTGTCTTGTTGATGGTTTTGAATCGAGAAGAGTAAAATTAGTGCGAAAACGATCAATAACTCCACGAATTACTTGCTCACTGGGCCGATTATGTGGACCGTAAAATGGACAAAGTGCTCTATGAATTTTGCAAATGGATTTATTTTTTTCAAAGTAAATTTCCACAATTTGGAAGCGTTGTTTAAGTTCAGTTAAGTTTAAGTTCAATAAATCTTTACACCCTTTTTTCAAGCTTTACTGCAGATAATGATATTATTGAGTACTATAGGTGTAAATGACTGGATCCAATTCTAAGTCCCAAATTCTAATTTCTGAATTGTTTACTTTACTATAACTTCTTAGCTTTATTTGATTGCAAATGAATAAATACCTTAAAATGTAATTCTAGTTTCTTTCAAAAAAAAAAAAAAATTCTCTAACTCGAAGTCTCCATAAGTCGAACCTTGTCTTTGCAAAATTGAACTTCCAGTTATGGAAGTTTGAATGTATATAATAATAATGATATTTTAAAGCCATTCCATTGGTTGCGTTCTTCATTTCTAGGAATTTTTCATTATCGTTTAATCTATTAAAATAAAATAAATCTATATCTAAATTAATGCATTTTTTATTTGGCTTTAATATTTAAATTTAAACTTTATTTATTTTTATATATTATTTATATTTTTATTTATATTTATTTATATTTTTATTTGTATTTATTTATTTCTAATTGAGCCAGTGCGCTTAAGCACTTTTACTCTTTCTTAACTCGAGGTATTTTTAAAACCCCTCTTTACGCCTTGACTGGATTATTGTTTAACACTTCATCAGACTAAGCAATAATTGACCTCAGATCTGCATACCTCCCCAAGGAGCCTGTAACCATTCTGAGATTTGATAACGCGGTGTTGGTAAGTCTGCAGTTTTCGCAAATAATTCTAAGCCTCTATCCTTTATGTATTTTTTGATGGGATCAATCTTGAGGTCCCTGAGGATGTCATTCGTCCTAATGTACCATGAAACAATTATTATTATTTTTACAATTATTATTTTTACAATTATATGTTGTTTAGGCTTTTGGTGTCTCTTAAACTCAATATTTTAAATTCCAAGTTCTATTTAATTATTTAAACAATTTATTTAAAATAACGTATGCAAAATGTTTCAACAGTGGAGGAATGTGCTTGATAAAAACTACAGCGTAGCTTAAAAGTCAGCTTTGTTATCGATTGCATATATCGATAACAATGTTGTGACATTTGGCTGTGTAGTGTTTTTGTGGTTTAGTTTTTTTCTCCATTTCTTTCGTTGGTCACAACAAATTATAAAAATTGTAAGAACTTTTTTGTGTATATAATAAATAATATAAAATATTTATTACAATTTATTTATATCTTTATTGAAAATAACGTTAAAGAATATAAATATAATAATAATTTACTCTCAGTTATTGCAGTTATTATAACACAGGTTGGGCGCGTACAACGCAACGACAACGCCCATACAAATTAATTGAATCATAAACAACATTATTAAAACTAAAATATTTCGAATCAATTTATATAAAAAGTATAATTTTATTTAGAAATAAATTTATCACTGCACACAATTTTTAAATCTAACGATATTCAAGTGAAATTGTAAGGCTTCAATATGAATTACGGTCGTAAAACTCCATCAACTTATCGTTCCAATCCGTCTGTGTATTCACATACCACTGGGAGGTATTTTTATTATGAATTATGTTTTGTTTTTCGGCAAATGAAAAATGTTATAATTTTATTATAGATCATCAACAAATCTACATTCCATAAAGTCCCGTTCAACACGTTCCGTGCGTATTCCTTGGTATCAACGACCCATATTGCAGAATAATCAGTATATTGACATACAAAAGAGTTCCATGCTTATTGGGCTCTTTGCCATAGTAAGTGTAATGTGCAATATATTTCTAAAAATATATTCATCGGTCAATTTTTGTTTTAGTTTTTAGCTTTATTTACCATTGGCACCTCAATATTTGATATCTATTCTTTGGCTATGGCTGCGCCGGGCTCAACGCATTATGGCTACTATATAATATCGTATGAATTCGTTTATGTTGGCAATAAACATGGTGAGTATAATGTTTTAAACAAATTTTTCTAATCACAATATTTGAAAAGTTAAGTTACATTACTGCGGTAATTCTAGGCATCCACTAAAGGCTCTTAGCTTGTAGTATAAAACTTAGAGGTCTTAAAATCATTTTTAGTAAATTCTTGTGGAGTGTAAGTCTTTAATATTTCTAATCTATGTTGCATTTGTGCTGGTCAGTGCAAATGTAAATTTTAGGCACGATTTTCATCTTTTACACAACATAGACAAAATTAATTAAAAGAAATATTCAAGTTTCTAGCGTAGGACATATTTTTACAAGTCAACTGAATTACACAGCCAGACTTTTTCTTATTCATTCATTATTCATTTTCTTATTTATTCATATCAAAAATGATATGATATGATTACTTACAGTTGTTCCTTTAATAATGCATTTAATTAGTCTATTTGAAAGCTTACGTTGTTTTTGTAGTATGTCATAAAGTAAATTTATTTTAGTGTAGCCCAATTTAATTTATCTTCCTTGTGATATTAGAATACACCGTTTCTAATAAAAGATGACTATCACAGTCATTGCTAGAAGCAATTCGCATACAGAATGGACTTAACATTTTTTAGCGGATACGGTTAATTGAAGTGTGGTCATATTTTGTCCGTTCTTAGTTAATGATATCTATGCTGCATTTATTCCATTTGGTTAGAAGTACTCTGTATATCACAACTGCTGGAACCATTTAATCATGTTAGAACTACTAGTTCCACTGGGTATATTCATAATCTCATAAAGAACCCATTCTAATATTTGTAGAACCCAACTGCTGGTTACACAATTCCACAGGTATTTTTAAAGAATTGATTTTTATATTTGTAAAACTCAACTGCTGGCTATGTAATTCCTCATGTTGTAGCACACATTGTAATCGTATTCCTTTTTCTTTTCCCATTAAAAGTGATAACAAAAAATATAACGAAAACTTTCAAAATGAAAATTAAAAGGTTCAGTTTATCGGTACGTACCGTAAGAACTTAAGTCAAAGCGAAATACACAGATATGAATGGTTGTGGGTTTCGTAAGTTCGCTTAAGTTCTTACGGTACGTACCGAGTAACTGAGGCTTTACACGAAAGATTAAACTTTATTTCGCATTTATAAACTTTGTGCTTTACGATGCATATTAATAAGTACTCTGTTAATTATATTTTTATAAGCTTTGCCAAAGGTTCTAAGTGGTTATAAACCTTGGGTTTTTAATTATACGGTAACACAATGGGCCTATAGGCATAAGTGGATCCTTGGGATCGCTGGTGTAACTTAATCTAACCTAATCATAGTTTGAAAGGATCTGAATTACAAAATCGTATGTGATTTCAATTTTTTTTAAAGTTTTTTATAAATATAGATTACATATGTAAACTAATATAGTATATAATAATAGTATATATAAAAGTAATTATAAATTTTTTTTCTTTTCAGTGCGTAACATGCTAATCGTATTTGCTTTATTTTCGTTAATACTGGGCTTTATAGTATTATTTACTAGTATTTTACTTGTGATTGCTTTAAGAAAAGTAAGTTTGTTTTCCGAATAATTATAAAAACATTAATTATAATTTTTATTATATTTATTTAGCAGCATTTTAATAATTCTAAGTTATTTATATAATATTATATGAATTATTTTTTTTTTATTCTCATAAGTAACTTTTGTTTTTATATGAACAAATTATCACAAAATAGACTGCATTATAAAACTATTTATTTGTTCAGGAACTCATATTGTTTGCATGTTTTATATTATAATTTTATTTGTACATACTACATACATGTATATTATTATATATATGATTTTATATATTCTACACCTAAGATGTTTTTTTCTAATTAACACTCATTCTTCATATAATTAAATCATTATTATTAATTTTCAAAGCAACGTAAAGAAGGACAAAAACAAAATAAATACGTTACGATGCCGGTACGATACTTACCTTAATGTCATTCTGTATAATAATCATAATTCATTTTAAACGATTAAATTAATTTAATTTTGAAATTGGCAAAATATTTCTTTTCATAATATCCTACTTTATCTATAAACTCATGTTATGTATCTAACTAATAAAAACAAATATATATTACAGGAATATGAACGTAAAGTGATGCCTTGGCTTTGGTCCTTTGCAGTGTTTACCATTTGGCGGAGTTTAGCATTAATATTCTTTGCCATCGTAAATGATTTGTATTTTGTTTATAACGTTATGATGGTATTCCTTTGGAGCCTCTTTCTCATTATATCAATATATGGTTGGTGTGTTGTGTACTCTTTGTTCTTAGAGTTGACAAATTTGACTAAATTAGAGGATTTGGCACATTTAAGGGTAAGAATATGTTTATATGCTATAAGTTTAAAATAAATAATTAATTTATATAATTTATAGATGGGCACAATGGCTTCGTTACATGCTTCTGCTGCTAATTCATTAGCAGGTTCCCGTCCAACTACACCTCATAGCACTGTCTCTACTATGCCAGTGGGTTAAATTCGAAAACAAAAAAAATTATTTCAAAATATGTCAGTAGTATATATCTCAAAGTCAAAGTTAGATCAAAAAGAATATTAAACAAAGGAAGCATCATCAACAAAATAATGTATACCAATTATAAGTTATAGGTTATTTAATTTTAATATTGTATATGCTCTCCGTGAAAAGAATCAGAAATATTTATGCATTCCATTATTTTCTCATTCAAAAATTATACACAAAACAAAATTTAACATAAACAATAAGTTATTTATATTACAATAATAGTTATTGTAGTCACACCGTTTTTGTAGAAATATTCTTATAAATGGTGGAACTCTTAACGAGTATTGTGAATTTTGATGTGGAAGCTTTGAGCATTTTAATGTTCGAATATGATTGTAGCGAGTACAATCATAATGTTATTTACACAATTTCGAATTGATGCATTCTCTATATTTAATTCTATATTTCAAACCGTTTAAATACGTTCTACAATCTTTTGTCATTTGAAAATAAAAAATATACATATTATTTTTTAATTACTACTGCATATATGTAAATCTAAGTTAAACGAATTAATTATAAGTTTATATACTATGTACAATCCATAATATATATTAGTTTAAAATAATAATAGTAATTTGCAATGCAGCTTAAGATGAGTTGCTACATTAATAATTGTTGAAAATTCTAAATTTGTAATTGTTATTTTATTAACAAAATTTTAAAAAATCTTTTGCACATTCCATATCTATTTTATATACAAAAGTATATACATTTAAGTATATATAAAAATTAGTTTAAGCAAATCAGTGCCTTATATAATCTGAACGAAATATGTATTCACAATTTTAGCAATTATCATAAGTATCTATATATGTATCTCGAATCTGATGTAACACAAATCCGTCCATTTTTTACGTGTTCTTAATTTTTTTTTTATAATAGAATATATATATATTTATATTTGTGTAATTTTGCAGATGTTTTTATAAATGTTTATAAATTTTATAAAAAATTAGAAAAGAATAAAACTTTATAACAAAAAGCTGTATCTTTATTCTTGGTATTCTGTATATATGATTTAGCTCAGACTTATAAAAATTTTAGGAAGAAAGAAAATTATGAAAAATCTAGGAAGAAAATATATTGAAAATACAAGCACTTAGATGAAAGAAAAATATAAATGCCGATAAAACGGGAAGATTTTGGAGGTAGTATTGATAATTAGCACATAGTTAATTAAAATAAAAATAGAAGTATTTCAATATTCAATAAGTTAACAGTAATAACAGTAAAATAAAGAACTCTTAAAAATTTATGAACGCTGATAAAATTAAATTCAGGCTATAAGGAATGGCTCGGCTGAAAGAAGCCTTTCACATCTGGTAAGAATTCTCATTCTAATTAAGATCATGATATAGCAACGAGCTAAACAGTTACTTTTTATGTTTAAATGGGTCCTCTAGCTCTACTTATAATGATGTCACGTATTTCAATGTCCAAAATGATATCCCTATTGGAGTCGTTTTGATTTATAGCTAGATCTTGTTAAAGTGACAAGGCTAGTTTACATCGATCTGGACTAGATTCAATTTGCACCTACTTAAAGTCAATATTTATCTTGTAATACAAATTTTTTAATCTACAAATCATTTGGATTACTACAAACACAATGTAGTAGAATCATCGGTATGAGAGCTGTGATACGAAATAGAAAGAAGTTTTGAATGCATTAAAAATTACTATGAAAAATTATTTAAAAAAAGATTTTTGTAAATATTTTATTTGATAATAGTCTAAAGAAAATGTATTCCGCAAATATATACTTTCATATACATTTTTTTACTATTAATTCTATTTATTACAATTTCTTTTTAATTACTTTAAAGCAAATAAAAGCGCAATATTGCATAAAAACATGTTTAACATTTTCTTTTTTATATAATTTATTTTTCTTATATTATTATTGTACACAATTTATAAAATTGTTTTTATAATAAAAAAATAGCAATAGATAAAAAACAGTACAATTAATTTAAGTATATTTTTGAAATAAAATAAATGAAATGCGAATTAAAAACAAATGGAATGAAGCATATATATGTGTAAGTAATATTTAACAATTTTTGGTAATTAATAAAATATTTTAAATTAAAACTTATAAATAGCATAAAAATCAACAACTATTCAAACACTTAAATAATAAAATTGTCATGTCTTGATCTAAATACTTGAGGGGACGCTTCCAATAACAGATTTCTTAACATTTAAATTATATTTGTGTTGAATTATATAACCATACATATAATGATTTATATAAAGCTGCAAAAAGTTTAACATTTTTTATATATTAGATATGATTTAATAATTTTTAAGTTCTACAATCGATAGAATATAAAATTTTGTATATATATAAATTTTTTATGTACTTATTACTGTATTGAACAACTTCGTACCGAAGATATTTTTTGCTCATCATCCATTTCCTTAGCAGACAAAATACTCTTAATGCTTTCAGCTTCCTTCATCCAAAATTCAATCTAAAATGCGTTATATTAACTTAAATATATATAATGGAATTGATATGATATATACATACCTGCTGCAGTAATAAATTTCTGCGTTCACCTTTAGGTTCATTGTTCATGAACTGCACTAAAATACCTAAGGCTGTTGTGTACGACTCAAGCGCGGTTTCAAATTTTCGCTCGTACAAATACAGCTCACCCTGCCTGCCAATTTCAAGTGCATTTTTTAATTGCGGACTAGAGTTAGACATTGCAACTATTTAAACAAGAATAATATTTTAGTTAAGAAACAATAACACATTAACTTCAATTAAAATTGTGTATATTTACTCACACAACTGCTTGTAGCGTGTATCAGGCTCTATAACATCAGCTAAAGAAGTTGTTTGTGCTCCAGTACTAGAACTGGCACAAACTTGTGTGTCTACATTGACACTCTTACGATGTGCAGCTGCTTTAAACTCATCTTCAATTAAAACATTTTTTATTTCTTCTGCACGCTGTAAGTATTTCAAGGCTCGGTTTCGCAAGGCTAAACGCTTATTGGCATCAGCTTCTTCTGTTATCAACGGCACAAAATATTGCAAAGAGCTGCAGTATAAATAGTAAGCCTCTTTATAATCACGATTCTCATCATAATTCACAGCTTTGGTAACTAGTTCTATTGCTTTTTCTAATGTCTTTTCCGATGGGAAAGTTTTGAGATCAAGAAATGGATGCGCAAAAAATTCTTCGAACGTTATACGCTTGGCAGGATCATGTTTTAACAGCCTACTTAGCAGGTCATGACATTCATTACTTATGCGTGCATTTGTCGGTATACAAATTTTCTCAGCGTTACGTATGCGCATTAACAACTCTTCGATAGTTTTCGATGAATAAGGTGCTTTGCCAAAAAGGCATTCGTACAATATAACACCAATACTCCATAAATCAGCACGGGCGTCATACTGCTTTTTACGTACAATCTCTGGCGCCATATATAAGGGCGAACCTTTTAGTTGCTGATTTATTTCACCCAATTTTAAATGTTGTGCAAAACTATAATTAGTGATAAGCGTTAAAGATAATAACTTTAAAACTAATCTACTATGACTCACCCAAAATCTGCCACCTTTAATACAACATTCGGATTGCGTGTCAATAATAAATTTTGCGGCTTTAAATCAAAGTGCGAGATATCGTTAGTGCGCATATATTGCACCGCAAGTGCCAATTGACGCAAAAAGTACTTGCATGTCGATTCTGGCAGTGATTTCTTTGAATGTATAAAATTGTAAAGGCTGCCTGCATTGCAGTATTCTAGAACGATGTATATGTTTCTAAAATCATATTAAAAAGTTAATTAGAATTAATTATATTCTTAGTTTACTTACTTCTCGTCCCAGAAAAAATCCTGTAAAGCCACAATATATTTGTGGTTTAATGAGCGTAGCAGACGTATTTCGGTAACAAGATTTTCACGTGAACTGTGCGATAACTTTGACATTTCCACACATTTTATGGCATGAAATGTTTTATTTTGCTGAAAATTTATAGATTAAGTTAATGGTTTATATAATTTTTACCACAAAAGGACATTTTTCTTATACATACCTTGTGACGCACTTTAAAAACGGTAGCATAGCTACCAACACCCAATTTATCTAATATTTCATAGTCAGTTATACGTGGTAATGACATACTTACACATTTATTTTATTTAATAAATATCACAAATTAATTATTTTAAATTATATACAAATAAAAACCAAAACAAAACCAACAATAACTAAAAATTCATATGAATGAAATTCGGAGAAACGTCAAAGTATTGGCTGCGTTTAATGAACATTTGTTTATGATGTTCAACCACAGGTTGACTAGATGAAGCATTTTTGTTTTCAAATTTTACTGCAATTGTGGTTGAAGTCTTGGTTAAAAATAGATCTGCTCCACGAGCTACTCGTAGTAACTTTGCATAACACTGTGTATACACAAGTGCGTTTCACCAGCAAATGATAGCATTTGAGAGAGCGTAACATCCTTGTCGAAAATTGAAAATAATACACAGACTTAACTCGTACATTTTATTTCAAGTAAAATTTGTGTGATGTGTGAATCAGCTGTTTTGGTTTAAATTTAAATTTTTGTATTGTTTATTTGCGCGACTCTGGTGTTCTCACTAGACTTTACACAAAGCTGTTCCATGAAGATCTCTGTTAAAAGTGTGATTTGGCACTTTATTTGTGTTACGCTCTCAGTTTGTAGTTTACTTGTGTTTTACTTGAGTTTTACTACGAGTAACTCGTGGAACAGACTTAATATATGGCGTTTTCGATTGTTAAATCTGGGTTAACTTTTTCAATCAAAATAATTTTAAGCTTGGTGCAGACTATCATTTTTATATGTTATTCAAGTTGCGCTCTCTCTTGCTCAAATTTCTTTCAATATCACTCAAAAATAGTAGTCTGCACCGCGCTTTAGTGCAATTTTCATTTTCGATTGGTGAAAATGAATAAATATGCATAGCACTCGAGATTGATTTATAACACTCTTGACATTTTGCCAGAGTAGTAAAATTACACTTAAATTGACAGCTGTTTTATATTATTTGACAGATAAAGTGTGACTTGATTCGATATATGCATTTATAAAAAATATAAATATCTACTAACACCTTTACGAGTTAACGGGGGTTGTCATAATTCATTTATGACCTGTACAAAGTTTACCACGACATTGACTTCAATAAAAAAAAAATCTAGCGTTTTAGGAGACTTGGTTATATCTTAAGCATGGGTGAAAGCCAGTTGAAGAAAAGATGTAGGAGAATATCGTACCTCCGATAGTGTTATAACGTTGACAGAACACTAATCAAGTTTAATGTATAAGATTGGAAAGAAACGCATGCAACCGAGGCGACTAGTCGTCTGGCCGAAACCCGGTAACGGGTATCTATTTGTAAATAAAAGCCTAATATTATAATGTATTCCTTAATGGAGAGAAACTCAAAACAGCAGTTAGTGCCAAATTCTAATGCATTTTATTGGATAGGATATTATCAATGAAATCAATGTCAAAATACTCTTGCTTAATTACATGGCATTCTTTTAAACAAATCATTGGAATGGAATGAGTCTTCAAACTACGCATTTGATTTACAAAATTAAAGTTAGATGACTTTTTCTATATGGTTCTGTTGTCTGATGGTACCAATCAGGCAAAGAATTACATCTCAAATCAATGAAGAAAAACCAGAGATTGGCTGATGTAGCCATTAGTCTTACATCTTACTGAGCCTTACAAGATATTGAACTTTTTTCTTGTTAACATCCTAGACATCCAGACAATACTCATGCCTGCTATATGCTTGCTATATGCTTGAACTCCAGCAATAGGTGGAAGCAAACAAATTAGGGCAACTCAGCAATTATGCATGAGCTCACTTACATATGAAGAATCAAGATATTATTAAATAGTTCACTTACAAATGTTCAAATCTGGTCAGTTTAGGCATTGCGGTATAGAAAAATACTAATAAACATTAAACATATATTTTAAAGAAATAATTATCCTTATCAAGCTTTGTCTTAAGCCTATGTTTACACTTACATTTATCGATAACATTTTGTTTTTTTGATATTGAATGGATTTTGTATGAAAAATTACACTAATTGCTGTACATTTAATTGCCGTACTTTGTTAAGTTAATGTTGATAGTGTAAACGCGCGCACTGCAAATCTCATCTTTGGAGCTTACTAAATAATTATAATATTGTCTTCATACTGCCGAATTGTGATGTTCTTGTGTAATAAATAAGAGTTCATAGAAGGTAATGTAGTATAAGAGGAGGGACAAATCACATGCTTGGGGAGACAAAGAATGGTTAAAGTCAAGTAAAGAATGGTTAATTCTTAGTAAAAGAAATTTATTAAAGCTAAAAAAAGGTATAAATTTTATATAAAATCAATAACATTAGAAGTCAATATCCTTGATAGCAATAATTTATACTTCCCATAATTTAAGAGTGGTACCAGCTACTCGTATCTTATCGTTTATTGTCTTCTAGACGTACTGAACAATAATTTAACGGATTTAAACTCACGAATATAAAACAAACTGTAATCTAATTTACGTATGAATACAGGGAACAATAACTCATACTTATCGCTACCATAATCACAACATATAGATTTGATAGACTCGATGGCTGTATCATTAATAAATAGTGAAGACGTAGACCAGAAATTTTAGTTCAACGTTCGGTGTGAATTAGAAGAAATCAAAATGTGGCTACAAACGGTGCTGACTTGTCTGCTTCTGGTTGCGAGCGCAAAGAGCTTTCCACAATCGCGTGTCGTCAATGGAACCGACTCCGATATAACCAAATATCCATTTATGGTGAGTTTAGCACGAAAAATGAAGAAGTCAATGTTATAGTTACTTGTTAAAATAATCATCAGGTATCATTGCGTGGATCCACTGGTTCACATTCTTGTGGGTCAAGTATTATATCATCACGTTATATACTAACTGCAGCGCATTGTGTAGTGGGCAAGACAGCTGCAAGTATTAGTATACAATATTCTGTGACTGATATTAACAAAAGTGGACCTAATATTGCGTCTGTTAAAAGAATCATTGTCCACTCAGGTTACAATCCAGCTGCCAATTATGCACATGATATTGCCTTACTTGAGTTATATGGTGAACTTTCTTTTAACTACAGAACATTGGCACCAGTTACTTTACCAGAAGCTGGTTTCGAAATTCCACAAGTTCCAGAGGGTGCACCCGGAGTTTTGACTGGTTGGGGTTTGAATGCTGTAAGTACTTGTTTATTTGTCTGATCACATAAAGGCTCAATTCAATATTAAAATATGTTTCTTTAGACTGGTGGAGTTGTGCAAAATCACTTACAAGAGGTGAACTTAAAGATTTACTCGGACGATGAATGTGCCACTCGTCATAATTTTAAAACAAATGAAAATCAGATTTGTGGTGGAGTAGATGAAGGTGGCAAGGGACAATGCAGTGGTGATTCTGGTGGTCCTTTGTTGTTGGATGGCCAAGTACAATTGGGTATTGTTTCGTGGAGTATTAAGCCTTGTACAGTTGCCCCTTACCCTGGAGTCTACACAAAAGTTTCACATTACATCGATTGGATTGAGGCAAATATGGATTGAGTGTTTTTCTATGAAATTCAATATTGATATCTTGTGAAGAAATTATTTGCTTGATCTATAAATCAAATAAAAATAAATACTGAAAATGCTTTGTGATATTTTGCGATAGTCGATTCGATATAGTAAATAAACATTTTATGTCTGTATCAGCAGATATACCTACAATAGGTAATTTATGGCCAAGTGCATAGCGTGGTTATCAGTGATAATATGAATGGTGTCTGTTTGTTAATAACTAAAAAGTTATTATGTTTTGTTTTGGATTATAATTTGTTAATGAAGAGTAGGTCTTTCTTGATATATTTAGTTTAATTATGAAAAACGTAGAAATACTTTGGGGTCGTTTTAAGGAATTTAGTAGATTTTACATATAATACCTGCGAAATGGTAAGAGTGGGGTTATAAGTATGTGATTTTACACCAGTAAATGGGACTTGACGAAGAAAAAATTTTCTGATATTCATTTTTATTATCATCTAAAATAGATTTATATGAAAAGACTGTAACAGCATTATCTGTATAATGCAGTCTACACTTAATTTCTGGATTCAGTAGAGTAAATATTTTTTAGAAAGATAACTACTGGTTAAATTGTTATTGACTAAAACTCTTGATAAAGTGTAGGGTAGTATTTAATTAAAAAATTTTTTTTTCATGTAAGTAATTCCCCCACCAGCGTGATAATGCCGTTTAGTGTGAAGTGGACTTGGGGATTAAATTTTCTCTCTAAAAAAAACTGAAAGGCTAGGATGTAAATAAATAAATATAAAGATAAATGAAGATTTTTTCATAACCGCTTTCTTAAAACACAGAGGGAAACTGACTTTAATTAGTGGTAAAAAATTTTGATCATTGACGTAATATAGAACGAGCTTAGTTTATCATAATTTATTTATCGAGTTGATTTGAGTTTAAGCTTTTCTCTAAAAATTTAACAAATAAATTTTTGGCTTATTTTTCAGAAGTTATTTTAATTATTTGAAAATAAGTACTACACTGCGACCTAAAAGATCTATTGTGCCCCTTAATCGGATTAGAGTGTTTTTTTAAGTCGGATTTCTTTATGATCCATGAAATATCCTCCTAGGTGTTTCTTCCGCTTATGCGTCAGTGCCGGGCACTCCCCAAACACATAGTATATAGTTTCTCTCTCTTCTCTACAGTATTTGCAGTCTGAGTTGGATTTGATTCCTAACTTTATTAGGTGATTATTCAATCTACAGTGACTGGTTAGTAATCTCGTAATAGTTCTAAGGTTATTTTTTTACTTGTACTATGCAATCTTTGAAGCGTTTAAGGTTGTTACAGCATTTTAAAATGTGATAGTCTTGGTAGTCTTTCCCGATAAAGTTCTCTTTCTTTTTTGTTCATAAGAATGGATTGTCAGCAGTTACTATTATAACTATTTTATGCTTGTATATTTCGCTAATCTGTTCTTAGGATTTTTGACAAATAACAACAATAATTTTTTTAATTATAAATAAATAAATTATAATTATAAATAAAAACAATGATAAATTGTTTTTATCATGCTTTCACAGCCCCAGTAGATTAAATTAAAAGTATTGAGCAAACGAATATTTTCATATCTTCAAGAATATTAATTTTGCGTGGAAGTGATTTATTTGATAGAACATCTTAAAATATGTCAAAATTCCAGTAAGATGGACCTATTTTAAGTGACGGAATGTTGTTTCTGTTGGAAAAACCTTTTATATTTTATTTTTTTTTTAAAGAAAAAATAAGAAAATATTATTTTAAATTATAATTTTTATTACTCTGTGAATATTTTTTTATAAGACCATCGCAGTATCAGATTTCTTTTAAAAATATTGAACTAATATTTTATCTCTTACTTTTTGATACGACAGTCTGATATGGCTCATTATTAGCCGTCAACATGTTTTTTTTAGTGAGTCCCACTACGACTTTATTATGTTATTTATGTTAATTATGTTTTTAGCCGTTAACTTTTTTTGTTTTAGTGAGTCCTACCACGAATTCAAATTTCTGGGTCAAGAATTCTTGCCAAAAACGTTTGACAATTTCTATAAGGTTTTTAAAGTAGGATTTATTTTTTTACAATGAATCTAAAACTTTAAATACAACACAATTAAAACTGTCGATTAGTGGTAAGTTATATTAACGTATGTGGAACTTGTATCACATTTAGCTAATATCACAACCAATTCAATTTTCGACCGTTAGCGTTTAGAATGCATACTGTTTGAAACATAGGCAGCAAATTCAGTTAATCGTGAGAAGTATATGTATAATTATTTATTTATATAACTATAATTATTGGAAAATAAAACAAAAATACAAAACAGTCAATAATATTTTAGTTTATTTATTTTATATTATATAAACCTTATGCCTTTGGATGCTGTAAAAATTTTTAGTACTTTTGTTGCTGCACGGCAACACTGTTGTGCGCCATACGAAACCACACGAATCCGCAGATCCAATAGAAATCAGAGGAAAAAGTTCAAACTGAAGTTCAGTTAAATTTCGATTTCAACGCGTGCGGTCACAGGCAAAACGAAAATTCATTTAAAGCCAATAAAAGTAGAACAGTTCTAACAGTGAAGTGTGAAGTGTTAAGCAGTTATTTTGTGTTGTTCTTGTCCGCTCTTGAAACCGTTACAAATTCAAATTTAAAAAATTATAAAAAATAAAAATGATTAAAAATACTGTAACCAAATAAATAAAAACAATAAAAAATTCAAAAAAAAAAAAACTAAATTAATAAATAATTGAGTTTAAAGTAAATATTTCTTTAAAAAAAAGTATTTTTTTTTTCAAATATTTCATAAAATTAAAATAAATAAAAATAAAATCTTAACTGCACTTAGCCGTCGCATACACATTAATTTAAGCAAAAACTTCAATAATTATTGTGAAAGTAACAAAAAAAATTTTTAAAAACAAATAAAGCGCATTGCTTTCTTTAGCAAAAAACAGAAAAAAGATTATTTAATTTGTCTAAGTTGATAAGTTCTTGGTTGCATCCACACCCAAAACCAAACTGCGGTTGCAATATTCTGTAAGGTCACTTAAGCTAGGCAGGCACAACCAGTGTGGCAGGCACTGAGCTCAATAGGTGAGTGAGTGTTACTGTTAAGCATGGAATGTTGGAATGTTTCAGTTGCTTGTGGTGCATTTCAGTTCCATCTTCTTCAATTAAACCAAACCAAAGCGGGTGAAACAACGCGGAAAGCGGAAGTAATTTGTTAATTGTTGTTGCGCTGCCAAGCAATTAAAAAAGTTTCTAGTCGACATTTAAATTTTAAATATTTATTTTCATGAAATAAGAGTTTTTTTCTTTATTTTAATTTTCATTTTTATTTTCAAACATTTTGATGTGTAAATTTCAACTGCGGTGGCGTATGAGTGTTATTAATTCGTTTAGAAAATAAATTACGCATACTCATGCAGCCTTTCGAGTGTTTTTTGCTCGCTAGAAGTGCAGGCAGAATCAGCGGCCTCGCTTAAGCTATGAGTTAATAAGCATATAATAATAATAATAAAAATAATAATAAAAGAAACTTAAATGGAGAAATTTATATTGTTTTATGTAATACATATATTTTCTAATTATAATTTTCAATAATAATTTTGTTTTTTTACGCGTTAATTGATCAATAGTTAATTATGAACTAAAAACTAATAACTATTAACTAATAGTTATTTAACTGTTGACCAATTAGCACGTAAAAAAAACGAAATTATTAAAAAATTTTTGCTCATTAAAGCAATAAATTATTATTTTCATAATTAAATTGGAGTAGCTAAGTTAAGCCAAGTTAATCAATGTTAAAATTATATCTCGAATGGATGTAGAATGGATGGAATGGATTCTATATTATTTTACATTAATTAAGAAATTTTTTAGAAATTTTTTAAAAATTTAAAAATTTAAAAATGAATAATTAAATACAATTTTTGGGATAACCATTCTTGTTATGCGCTATACAAAAACAAAGTTAGTATTTGATGGTTCCTCTTCCTTCTTATCAACACAGCTATTGCAGTAGTTGTTTTATGTAACACCCATTTTAGAGGTTTATCGGCCTATTAAACATTAATGATAGTTATAAAAATTGAGATTTTATATTGAAATAAGGCTCCAGAGAGGATTCGAACAGTAGTGAACTACAACAACAAAAATTATTTTCATATTATTTTAAATAATTGAATTTTTGACTGACCTTATTTTAAATTCGATTTTAAAGCTATTTATGGTGAAAGAAACTGTTTTCGAATCGTAGAGTAAAATTAGCATAATTTTCTTGTATTGAGCTTCCAAGTAAAGATCACTACACAAGCAAGAATTATATAAAAGGAAGAATATTTAATATTTAATTAAACAATTTAAAAACAACTGTAATTAACTAACACAATTATTCTATAGTTGGATTATGATTTCGTTATAATATAACACAGCAGGTGAATTTGTTAATGAACTTCTGGAGTAAATTAACAAAACTCCAATTTCGAACATACAAGTCAATTACGGCTTTAGGCCAGTTGACTAATGAACGCTAACTCTAAGCTTTAAATTTGGCTGGGCATGAGTTCAATCTCTGATACTTGCAGTCTCAAAAAATTAGGTCAGTTAACTAATGAACGCTAACTCTGAGCTTCAAATTTGGCAGGGCATGAATTCAATTCCTGGTACTTGCAGTCTCAAAAAATTAGTTATTCAAAAATAATTATTCAAAAATAATTATAAGTGATGTTTTATTTGAAAGAACGAGCAATTAATATTATAATCAAACGTTATGTTATCAGCTTAAAATTACATATCATTAATAATTGGAATTTTTTATTAACACAGAAAAATAAAACTATCTCATATTAGTTATTTTTATTGCAAATCATTGTTTATTGCACAATTATTTGTTGTTAGTTCCTTTAACTCTTTGAGGAGCACAGGGCCTCTGAAGCATATGGCCTCGGACAATTATTTATTACCCTAATAAACTAAAATTTTTTAAGGTTAGTTATTTTTATTCAAACTTAGTTTTATAATTCATTCTAACATAAATACAAAAAAACGCAACCAATAAGATCTTTTGTCCTTTCTCAAGAGAGAGTGTGCAAAGCTAACCTGAATAAATTAAAGCTATTGATAAATTGAACAATCTTCTTAAGTACAAGACCTCAGCCCACATTCTGGGTTTAGTTCCTTCATTTCCAAACCAAATGAAGGAACTAAACCCATTTATTGGATTTAATGTCACGATTAGATATAATTAGTGAACGTTTTACTGTGTTTCATATAATTTGAGATAGCAATTTTCTTTAAAGCACAGACATATCTTTTTATTTATTATAACATTATCAGAAGAACCGGAATAAATGAAATGTATGAAACTATAACTAGAGAGACTCTTTTAGTTCCATTGAAAAAATTATGGAATATAAATTATAGGGCAGCAAATATATAAAATCTATAAGGCTACCCAGAAGGTGCCTTTCTAAAAATATATTAATATATATCATATATAATATAATACATATAATATAATATATATAAAATAACTCTATTTATATAATATATATATGTTCTTTTAAGCTATCTCTGGAGAGAGTCTTTAAACTAAATTTGAAAAAATTAGGAAATATAAATTAAATGGTTAGCAATATATTATATCTATAAAGCTATTAACTTCATTTAAAAAAATTAGGGTTACCGATAAACTTAATAATATCTTCAGGATCAAGACGTTAAATTGCATTCAGACAAATGAAAACTATATGAAAGAACTGAACCTATTTCCTCGCATAGAAGATAGAAGTACCTTTTATTCTATTTTAGATAATCTCAGATAGTAATTTTTGCTGAAGCATATGTACTTGTATTCTATAATTATTATTCATGATAAAATTTTTAGAAGAACCGCTATATTTTGATTCTGTTAAGTAATCTGTAAAGAGAGTTTTTTAAGTTCTTTTAAAAAAATCAAGGAATAAAATTTAAAGAGTAGCAATATATGAAATTTATTGCTAGAAAAAATAAAAGAAATTTTTTTGGTTATTTTGATACACATCAGAGATTTTTTATGAGCTAAGAAAAGCTAAATCTGCATTACACAGTAATTCCCTATGACATTTTCATTAGCACAATTTTTAATAATTAATTTAATATTTTTTCGTAACCCACAAAAATACTCAAAAGAAATACAAACTAGTTAATTATTATCTATTTCCAATCAATTAATGTCATTCCTGGTCTTTTAATAAATATGTAACTTAGCTCAGCTTAATTTGTATCTGAAGTTACACAATACACAATATTCTTATAAGTAAAAATTTTATAATACCTATTTCACCATTTCTGCCCGGAATATACATAACAATAATTTAAAACCATAATTACTATAATATATTATTAAAATTAGTGTATCATATGATACTTTTTTATGATACTTTTTATTATTATTATTTTTTTATTTTATTATTTTTTTTTATATTTTATTAATAGCACTTTTCAATTATATATAATAAGATTAACAAGTTTCAATACTCGGGAAGGAGTAGTACTATTAACCACCGTACAGAGATACATTTATATTAATTTAAATACATGACCGAGCGTAACGCTTCCCATAACATACATGATATGTGACAATTATACATCGTATATCAGTTAAAATAGTGCTTACAAAAAGCATGTTTATGCTTTCAATCATTTTATTTTTCTTACCATTGCATGCTATGGGCTCACTGTAAATAACTATTTTTAAAAAGTCTTGGTTACGTTGGAACGCATTTTGTGAAGATATCTATCTTATTCTTATAATAATCTTATTATCATAAATTTTATAACAGTTTTGTCATCAAATTGATTCAAGTCATTTGGACAATAAATCGATTTAGTGGTATTTGATGGATTTTCAGTTAGTGTACTTAACTAATTAATAAAAATATCTGGAAAAAATCGGTTTTGGTTTACTTTTCTTGTAAAGTAAAGTAAAACTCTATCTTTAGTAGTAAACGGCATTTTTGTGTAGATCTTAATAAGCAGCTCCGAAATATAAAGCTAGGTATACCGTGAATAAGTTTGGAATATGTTGGGAAATGTTGTATGATTGATTTTCAAACTAATAGCTTCATTTAGGCGTTCAGATTGTTCAATATCATCGATGTCTAATTCAACATACCAATAAATAATGATTGATTTTGCAGAGAGTTACATAAATTAAGATTTTATATTGAAATAAGGCTCTAGAGACGTTTCGAAGAGTAGTGAACTACAACAACAAAAATTCTTTTTATATTATTTTAATTAATTGAATTTTTGGCTGACCACATAGCTGTTTCCAGTATTGCCAAATACCCATTATCAGTGTTCTTGAAATAATTTTTAATATTCGTAAATAATTTTTGACACTGCAATTACCAATGGTTGAATTCGTGCCCTGCCAAATTTGAAACTCAGAGTCAGTGTTCATAAGTGTCCAAATAAAGCTTTAGGATTTTTGACATCAAAACTAAGCTGTGTTCCCGAAATATTTAATATGAGGCTATGCATTATCTGGCATTACCAGATAAGTTAAATTCAATATTATATACAATGTATGAAATAGTAACCAAGTAAAAATGATCAAGAGTTCCCTTTCCTGGTGTTTTTCTCTTCTTCACTATTATATTGTGAGGAAAGGGACCCTAACATTTTATCAACTAGAATATATTCTTAAATATGTATAAATTATTATTTATTATACGAGTAGCTTTTACATAATTTGAAGTATATCCTATTAGGAGTGCGGAAAAAACCATAATAACATTTATATATTTTTTTATTTTTATTTTTTGGAAACTCTAACAACAAGGTTAAGTGCTCTTTGCAAATAATATTTTCCTAAGCGTGAAAATTCATTTCTTAGTTATTGTAATATTAAGTAATAACAAAAAAAAAAAAAGAATAATAATAAGGACATTTTATCGCGAATACTTAAGTTAAGAAGGCCTGAATTTTATTTATTTTGACTTTAATAAACATCAAAAACTAAACTTTCATTTTCAGAATAATACAATCAAGTGAAGACCACAGAGAAACAGAGAAAAAATTGATAATAAAACATATTAGAAGAGCACAAAAAAAAAGTGATAAATAAAAAATAACAATAAATTTGGGTAAGAAGAATTACAGATAAATTTGTTGAAAAACAAAAATATTCAAACCAGAATCTATGACAGACAAAGTCCTTGACCGTTATCGATAGAGATAGTGACAAGCGCAGGAAGAGCGTATCAGTAAAAACAGAAAGAAAGCAATAAATAAACTGAACCTATATAAACAGAAAACAATATTGTGCAATAACATTAAAAAGTAAACAATTTAGCAATAATAAAAAACCTAAAATAACATTACTAACATTCACATCTCACAATAATGTCACCAACTACAAGTAAGAACAACAATTCAGCAGTAGCAGCAGCAGCAGCAGCAATAACAACAACACCAGAAACCACAATAACCGAAACATCGACAGCAACAAACCAAAGAGCCAGAGCAATGGCTCCAGCTACAAGAATCATGTCCTATCAGAATTGTATTGCATTGCTTGCCTTGCTTCTTTGTGGTCTCGCCACAGTGGACGGACTGAAGTGCCATATGTGTGGTCAGTATAATGAGGGCGTGGGATCTATCACACCCTGTCTCAATTACTCTGAGCAATACGCACATTTGTACTTGAAGGAGTGCTCAAAGAAGAGCGAGAAATATTGTGTGGTGAGTAAACTGAAATAAATATTTTTATATAAAATAAATACAATTTTTTCTTTTAAAGAATATGTTATATACATTTATATAATAATAATTAATTTAATTTAATTTAATAAAATAAACAGTTTCAATTATATTTTAATTTTTATGTATTGTGTGGGTTGATAGATCAACTGTTAAAGACAAAGTTCCTGAAGTTGACCACCGAAGATGGTGGATATATTGAATTATTAATAAATTTAAATAAAATTTATGATTAAATAGAAGCAACTCGTTTTAAAACAAAATTCGCCTAAAAAATCACAAAAAATTATATTAAAATAATTTTTTATTTTTTACATTTAATATTATTTGAACAGTAGTAAATTGGTTTCCTAAAGGGTTAAAGATCAGTTAGTCGACATGTACCGTAAGCACTTAAAGGTTTAAGGCTGAAGGCTCAGTTAGTCGGTACGTGCCGTAAGAACTTAAGTTAAAGTGAAATCTACAATCAACCACAACTGAGTATTTGATAGGAACGAAATAAACAAACATAAGCGGCGAACTTAAGCGAAATTCAATTAGGTTTTCTACTTAAGCGAATTAAAAATTTTTATTTGGCGCTCATGAAATCTTGTTGAGGGAGGCTGTGTTGCATTAATGTGTGAATTACATTTATTACAACGAGCCCTAAGGCTCAGTTAGTCGGTACGTACTGTAAGAACTTAAGCGAACTTAATCTAAAGCGAAATGCACAACCAACCACATCTGTGTATTGAACATTGTTGAGGGTGGGTGTGTTGCAATAATGTGTGAATTCTGTTTATTACAACGAGCCTTAAGGCTCAGTTAGTCGTACGTACCGTAAGAACTTAAGCGAACTCAATCTTAAGTGAAATGCTCAGTCAACCACATCTGTGTATTTCAAAGAAACGGAATAAATAAAGTTCGCTGTTTTTGTTTATTTCGTTCCTTTCAAATACACAGGTGTGGTTGGTTGTGCATTTTGACTTAAGTTTGACTTTGACTTAAGTTCTTACCGTACGTACCGACTAACTGAGCCTTTAGAGTAGAGCAAAATTTTTATTTCGTTTCTGCTTAAGTTCTTTCAGTACGTACTGACTGTTTCAACCTTTAAAAATAAAAATATCATTAAATATAAAAATTAATCTAATTATTAAACTTATAAGCAAAGAAGTAAAACTGAAATAACTTTAAGAAATGATTAATTAATTAGTAATAGTACTAGTTTTTTATCCAGATATTTATATATATATATATATATGTTATAAATATGTACTATGAATTTAGAACTTATTATATAGAGAGTAATGATCACGACAAATGTGAACTTCGAAATGTTATTATTTTTAATATAAATTAAAAAATTGCAAATGAGAGAAAGACAGAAATTTTGATATAAATTTGGTCTCTGTGACGAGGTTTTATTGTCGTGACTACTCATTTGTTTGTCATGGCCACAATATATAGTCATCTTCCGGGGTTGTTATCTAAATGATATTTTAATTAAAGCAATATATAAAAAGTGTGACCCAATAATTTAAGAATGATGTTTTTGCGTGAATATTCAGATTTATTAAAAATTTAAGATTATAAACAATTAGGCATGGCTACGATACTAACGAAGGTATATCTAGGCGACCATGAGCTTCAGCGTTGCCTAGTTTCAGCAAAAAGTGCTGAATTTCTGTGGAAATATCAACTTGAGCAGGCCTTTTAATTAATTGCTGTAAATGACTGTTATGATACGTATATTAATTTATTTGCACAATAATTTTGTTTTTATTTTATTTATATTTTATTTTTATAAAGTAAAATTTAATAGTGCTTTTTCAATATATAAAATAAGTTTAACTATTCCCAAAATGCAAAAAATGACACTTAACAGCATGCAGATATATACGTATTAATTGAAACACACGGTCAAGCTTAACGCTTTCCGATAATATTTGACTTGTAATGTCACATTTCACAGGAAAAATTATCGTAATACACAATTATGAAGCACTTAATTGCTATTATAAAGCGCTAAGTATCTGAATTTTTAATTTTTACAATATATTTAATTTTCAAAATAAATATAAACTGTATAACTTATACTGTATATCACATTAATAATTAAAAGAGTAACTATTATTTAATATTTTACTTTTGGAATAAATAAATGTTATTATATTTGTTTTTATAATTATAATTAATTAATTTAATAATAAAATAAAGTAAAATTTTTGATTTTCGTACAAGTAACATCGTCAGATGTATGTTGAGGCATCGCAATTAGTGTCAATAATTTAATCCTTTTCTTGGAACAATAAATGGGAATGAGTACACATTTTATTCACTTTTTTATAATTGAATTATTACTACAATTTTAAAACTATAATCGATTGTATTTTATGGTATTATATGCTTTGCCACATAAATTTGCTTTGTCGCAAAAGAAGTTACGATTCCAATACGATTTGCCGCAACATACGCACTACTGTGTTCTGGTGTGTCATTTACTCTTTTAGTTTGCAGATCTATGACATTTTCGTAACGTATTGTATGTTGTGGTCGTGCTTTATTTATTTTTAATGCATTTTGCTTGCTAATATCTCATACGTTCCATGATCAGAACAATCGCCGTTCTGGGGTTTCATTAATATATACCTATATATATAAACGTAAATATATAATATATAAGTTTAATCGCAAAAGTAATAAATCATTATAATTTATTAATAACACCAAATATTTTATATTTATTAAATTTATACATTGTGATTGTTTGTACTTGCTAAGTCTAACTATTACCTATAACTTAAATTAAAATTAGTTTCTATTGATTTTAATTTTTCAGTTTCCAAAGTTAAGATATATAAAATATATTTCTGATAGAGTTTTCGGCCAAATTTTTGTTTAGATACATTGTTTGAACCATGTTATTAAGTGTAAAGTACCGCAACTAAATAATACTAGGCAAGTTATCTTAGAATATTGGATAGCAATAGCTTGACCCTAAGTTGTCCTTCCAAATATACATGATTTCACCTTCACTCTCAGCCTATCATATTTAGGAGGGCATTATTTCTGTTAAATGATAAAATATTACTTTGGCTATACTTTTGAGGAGTCGTAATCAGGACGCCGCTTATAATTGGTGATGAGACAAAGAAGTAATTGGTGACGTACGAATTTAAGATGCAAACAAGTTAACAGTCCTAGGTCCAAATGATAGTCTAGCTAAAGAAATGGCGCTGTTATAACGTTATTACAGATTGGAAGATAAGTAAAGATATTCTTCTTTCTAATCCGGAAACCAGCTAATCGTTTTAATGAAACAAAATTTAACTAATGAATTTGGATAGATATTTAAAGAAGGGAGACGGTAAAGTGTATGTGTGCATCTAGTTGGTACTAGTCAGCTCCAGATCACATGTGAAATACCTTGCTCTTTGTCTTCTGCTCCACAGCTACCACAGTAGTTGTTGAAAGAAGTACATAATTGATAACTGGTTGGTATTTTACCTATGAAATTTATATTATATTAGTGATTTCGTATAATTATTTGAAGTTAGAGATATCATAAATTAGATATGTTTCTTTTGGGAAGTGCCAGGTAGCATCACAGCAAATATATAATAATTTTTTCTTACTCTTCTGTCTGACATATATGATAATAATGATAAGAACAATTCTTTTATTGGTAATTGGTTGGTATTCTTATACACAAAGTATATATTATATTAGTTTATATTAATGATTTTAAATAGATATTTGAAGAAGGTAGATTATAAAGTGGATCAAAGTGCCAATCACCTCCAGACCAAATGTGTAATATTTTGCTTTTACTCTTCTGATTCACAACTATGACAGTAGTTGTTTGAAAGAATCGTTAATTGATTGAATGTTTACCTATAAGGTAAGTCGGTATGGCGTTTGTGTTGGGTAGCGAGTATTAAGAAAGACTAGTCAATTACTCTCTCCTAAAAATTATTTTCATGTTTTTTCTATTAAGAATAACTATTAAAAAATGTTAATTAACTTTTTATATGGAAGCAAAAATGTTTAAAATGTATGTTATCTTGTAAAAATGAGCACTATGCTTGCGTTTAGTTAATTTTTTTTAATAAATCAAATAAATTTTAAAATAATTTCACATAAAAAGGAAAAAAATTTTTCGTTATTGTGAAGTTTAATTTTATGCCATTTAAAAAATGCAATTCTTTCGAAAAATCAAAGGAACTTGTCACTTGAATTATCCGCTTTAAAGGATTTAAAGGACTAAGCCTATAGATGAAGTATGTAATGTTTATTGCTTTCGTTAAAATAAGATTTAAATATAAAACGTCGTTTCATCTGTTTGGTTAAATATCAATCAGATTTTTTTAAAAAAATTGTTCTGTTAATTAAAGACTTTAGTTGGTCAATGGTCAATGGTATGGGGGGGTTTTGGGTTAGGCTAAGGCCTCTATGCACTGTGATCAGCTTGATCTACTGTGCATGCATTTGTATTTAGACATTCAGTATCTTAAGGAATCGATCCAGCTCCTTCGAAGGAAGTTTTCGAAAGTCTTCATCCATTAGTTGGTATGCAATTAAAATTTTGTTTCTTCTGTGGACTAGAGCACCACAGTTGGCGTTCTATAAACTCCATAGATGTTCCATAGACTCTTCCTTATCACCGTAAAATCTGCAAAGACTTCAGTTAAATTAAGAACTAAATTACTTTAAAAAGAATATATAACAGCGATATGAAGGCGGATGTTGATTTTTCGGTTCAGTAAACGATAAACTCATGAGAGAGGGGTGAGGTTATTTTGTTGACTTTGTGGCGAACCAATATTATACATTGTGACCGATAAGTTTCCGGAAATTTTAATAAAACGCAAAATTCTTTATCTTCATCAATATTTATTTTATCTCCTTCAAAATATGCTCCATTAGAAGCGATACACAAATGCCAACGTTTCTTCCAATCATCAAAACATTTTTTATAGGCGCTTTCCGGTATGGCTTTGAGTTTCCTCTGCGAATTCTGT